TCACATCTTTAATTTGGGTAAATCCAAAAATGAAACGCCTGATCCTATAAATTGCTAAAATCTATACATTTTTATGTGAATAAAAGATATTATTACTGCGGCTTTTCGCAATCCATCGCCAATTTAAATTCCGAACGTGTAAAGTAGAATTCTCCACATCCTACTTTTTATGTTTATTTTGCATGAACTCGGCGGTAAAAGAAAACAACAAAAATTCACGGACAAGGACAGCCGTACATTCAAAATGGCGTACAGTAAAATGTTATGCTCATATTATCAATGTTATGTTCAGAATTTCGTTATTCATAAAAAGTGTTTTGTACTATAGCGAGAGCAAGAGTTCTACTTATTACATGATTTGAATAAACTGGGTTCAGCTTCGAAAAGTATTTACGATCCGGGAGACCCACTCTACAAGCTTCACAATAGTGTCAAAATAGGAAAGATAAAATATGCAACAGAAAAATAGGAATACCATTCAGTTTTTGCATATAGAAATGCCCTTTATTTTATATGGCAGAGCATTAGTCTTTGAATCTCGGACTCTCATCTATTAATTCATATTATCATTGAAGGTATAATTCGTGTATGCGTAGGTATATGGATGTGGAGGAAGCGAGAGAGGTGTGTCAGGATCGTGCCAAATGGAAGTCTATAATATCTGCCTACCCCTCTGGGTGACAGGCGTGAGTGTTTATGTATATGTTTATGTTTATGTATAATTCGGTTAGTTTGCCATTTAACTTGCCTCACGTAACTATATAATGGTGCATCAAATGAAATCAGTCCGACGTCGATATTTTCGAGGTGTAAATTAACCATGGACTCACGCGTAGATACGCTTATACACGCACTCGTAATTACACATACATAGAGACATAGCACCGGACTTTTGGAGACCTTAAAACGTGGACCCATTATAATAGCCCCTAAGCAATAAGCCCCATTGGAAAGTTAATTATTTTATTTCCAGTTTAAAATATTTTGAATGTTACCGTGTAACCGCGTGTTATCCTGCGGGTGTCGTAAGAGGCGACAGAGGGAAACAAATCAGGATATGGGCTGTAGCGTCTTCCTTATAACGACTAAAATTAAAAAAATACGGTTGCCATCCCACTTCCCACTTGCCAAGCGTGGCAACTATGTTAAAGCCCCCTACGAGAGAATTTATGGGGGAGGCTTATGTTCAGCAGTGTACTTTAACAGGCTATAACGTTAGTGTTTACCAGGTATGCATTATAAAGTTTTCAAAAAGACTACAAAGAGGGAAAAATAATTATTATCTATGAATCAAAGCGTAATATTCTGCCGAAACTGCGGTAATTAAGGTGGAGAACGTTTACATTGGCAGAATATACAATATGTAACAAAAACACTGTGGTTCCCGTTAAGTACGTTATCAGGATCATTATTCAAACCTATAGAAATAACTTTTTTTTTAAAACTCGAACAATTTTTTTTATTTAATAAATATAATTCTATGCAAATTGTATGTGGTTTTATTACCTCTGCATTGTCTGGGGAGTAAAAGGATGTCAGAGACATCGCTTTACTTAGCTTTTGCATCGGCTAGTGTTAGTAAGAGGTAATAAAACCATATAAAATTAAAAAAAATATATATTTAATAAAATTAAAAAAAATATATGGTCGATTGTTGAATGTTTTTACAAGCTTTAATTTAACTTGCAATTCAATTTTGAAGCAGATATCTTTAATCGATTAAGCTCAAATTTTGTATGTACGTTAAGTTTGGATGACAATGCATGGTTAGTTGTGTGACGTCATTCTAAATCCAACATGGCTGAACATCCTAGATAGTGGACTAGTTATTTTAATGCACTCCTACAATATGGGTATCAAATGAAAGGCCTTGCTTAGTGTAACTCGAAAAATAAAGCCACGTCACTCTAAATCCAATATGGCGGACTTCTAAAGATGGCGGACTAAGTTTTTATACTTTCCTACCATATGGGTGTCAAATGAAAGGGCTTGTTTAGTATAACTCGAACTATAAAGTGACGTCACTCTAAATCCAATATGGCGGACTTCTAAAGATGGCGGACTAAGGTTTTATGCTTTCCTACAATATGGGTATCAAATGAAAGGACTTGTTGAGAATACGAATGCGAGGTAACCAAAAATAAGATTGTGATCATAAACTCGGTTGCTCCAATCCGTCTGAAATTTTGGTGTACTGGGGTTTTTGCAGTTCTCGATAATGATATTGAGGTCGAATGGTTCGATTCTGTAGCATCGGTTAGTTAACTTTGACTTGTGTAATTTGACGACATAGGCGTCGACAGCATTGGTTTTGTAATGTCTGCTATCTTCTCTAACCACTGTAGTGTAACACAGGCTCGGCACGCACTTTAACTAAACAACACGTCCACTCTCGCGCGAGGCTCTCGTGTAACTGACGCGGTGCGCTCGAGAGAGTGACTTATATATAAATGTATGTTTGTGTATTTGTGCATGGTAAATTATTAGTAAATAAAACAAATAACAATATTTACTGTATACTACATATAAGCAAACACTACATCTCTTTCTTATCAAGATTTTTTTCTTTTTTTTCATTATAACTCATAACAATCACAAAGCAGCTTGTATTGTCTGTATTTATTATTTTCCACTGCTTTTACGTAAACCTTATCTCCTTGTATTATATCTGAGCGAGTTGCTTTGCGTTTCCTATATATATACTCTTTTCCTTTTCCTTTTTTGTATTTTGTCTCTATCCCTGATATCTGAATCTAAATGATTGTCTGTAATTTACTTCACCTATTGATGGAATTTTATCCCTACTTTTTCGGTGAAAAAACAGTTCAGACGCTAACTTCCCGGTAACTGTAAGGAGGGGTGCTGTTATACATTAGAAGATACTCCCATAAACATTTCTTTTAAATCCTTCCTCTCGATCTGGTTGATACGAAGACGTTTCAAAATATCTCTGTTTTGTCTTTCAACTTCGCCGATCATTTGAGGCCAATATAGTACAATACTAAATAACTTAATGTTACATTCTTTGCAGAAGGATCGAAACTCTTCACTCACGAACTGCTTGTCATTGTCTCATCATCATCATCATCATTACAGCCCTTCACAAGTCCACTGCTGAACATAGGCCTCCCCCAAAGAATGCCACAAAGCACGGTCCTGAGCCACCTGCATCCATCGACTTCCTGCATATCTTACCAGGTCGTCACTCCATCTAGTGGGGGGACGCCCTACACTTCGCCTGCCGGTACGAGGCTGCCACTCGAGAACCTTTCTTCCCCATCGGTTGTCGGTTCTTCGAGCTATATGGCCGGCCCATTGCCACTTCAGCTTACTAATCCGTTGGGCTATGTCGGTCACTCTAGTTCTACTGCGGATATCCTCATTTCTGAGTTTATCACGCAGAGAAACTCCGAGCATAGCCCTCTCCATAGCTCGCTGAGCGACCTTGAGCTTCCTCATCCGGCCAGCAGTGAAGGACCACGTCTCAGTTCCGTATGTCATCACTGGCAACACGCACTGGGTGTACAGTCTCGTTTTCAAGTTTTGAGGTATACCTGACGAGAAGATGTGCCGTAATTTCCCGAACGCTGCCCAACCGAGTTGAATCCGTCGATTGACCTCTCGGTCGAAGTTGGACTTACCTAGTCGGACTATTTGTCCCAGGTAAACATACTCGTCAACAACTTCGAGCTTAGTGTTCCCAACAACTACCGGCATAGGTGTGACATGGACATTAAACATGATCTTTGTTTTGTCCATGTTCATCTTAAGACCTATCCGTTGGGAAACACTATTGAGGTCATTGAGCATAGTGCTTAGGTCCTCCAGCGATTCTGCCATAAGGACTATATCGTCGGCAAATCGAAGGTGAGTGATGTACTCGCCATTGATGTTGATACCGTATCCTTTCCAGTCCAGAAGCTTGAAAACATCTTCCAATGCAGCGGTAAAGAGTTTCGGGGATATGACGTCACCCTGTCTTACACCTCTCTGCAATTGGATAGGTTTCGTACTCTGGTTCTGTACTCGGATAGCCATCGTAGCCCTACTGTACAAGCACTTCAACACTTCGATATATCGACAGTCAACTTGGCATCGCTGAAGGGACTGCAGCACCGCCCAAATTTCGACGGAATCAAAGGCTTTCTCATAGTCCACATACGCCAGACATAGTGGCAAATTGTACTCCTCGGACTTCTGCACAATTTGCCGAAGGGTATGTATGTGGTCTAAGGTGCTAAAGCCTTTTCGGAAACCGGCTTGTTCGGGAGGCTGGAAGTCGTCAAGTCTGCGCGCGAGACGATTCGTAATGACTCTCGAAAACAGCACGTAGACGCGGCTCAGAAGGGAAATCGGTCTGTAGTTCTTCAAGAGAGCGTTGTCGCCTTTCTTGAAGAACAAGACCACCGCACTTCTGCTCCACGCCTTCGGTGTAATGCCACCATGGAGGACGGAATTAAAGAGCTTCTGAAGGACTTCAAGTACCGGTCTTCCACCCGCTTTCAGAAGCTCCGCTGTAATTCCATCCTCGCCTGGGGCCTTGCCGTTTTTAAGGTGCTGGAGAGCCATTCTAATCTCGCTCAGACTGACGTCCGGGATATCATCGGAATAATGTCGGATAAGACTCGCTCTTGGATCGTTACTCACACTTGCGTGCGGCTCCAACGATGACGTGTACAGCTGCCCATAGAACCTCTCAATCTCACTCAAAATCTCAGGTGCCCCGGAAACGATGCTGCCACATTCTGTCTTCAGCTTTGACAGTTGGCGCTTTCTGGCAGACAGATCTCTGGCAAAGACTTTGGAACCTCGGTTCCGCTCGATCGCTTCTTCAATACGAGCTGTATTGAATTTGCGTAAGTCCCGCCGCATGCATTTGGAGATCTGTCTGTTCAGTTGCCTGTATGCTGTTAAATCTGTTGAAGAATGTAGCTTCATCTCCCGTCTAACAGCCATGAGATTAAGTCATTGTCTGCGGTGATAGAAATAGGATAACCAAGTCAACTGAACATTTCTTTTACCATTTTAATAATCTGTAAACTTGTGATGTTTTTGTAATTGTTTACTTCTTTGTATCGACTAAAGTAGTCGACCACTACTAACAGATACTCGTTACTTGGCAATGTTTCCATTAGATCCATTGTGACATCTATCCATGGAGCTGCAGGCAACTCTCGTCTCTTCATTGGTGCAGTTGGGTTTGGCAAACCCACTAACGTAAAACCTTTACAGGCCTTTACTAATTGTTCTACGTCTTTATCGATACGGGGCCACCATACCTTTGATCTCAAGCGTCCTTTCATCGCTACGATACCTGGATGACCCTCGTATGCAGCATCTAATACACTCTCGCAGAGTTGCTGTGGTATTACAATTTTATTTCCACGAACTAGAATGCTATCATGGAAACACAACTCGTTTTCAAAAAATTTGTAACTCTTAATCGAATCGTCCCAGTCGTTCTGATAGACACCTTTTTTCACTTTGTAAATCTCTTGGTCTTTTTCTGAATATGCTACAATGGAACTCATTGGTATAGCAACTGGTCTAGAATTTTCCACTATTGGGTACACATGCTGGTCTTTTCCTTTTGGTGGGTTATCAGGATAGTTACATAATCGTGACAAGGGATCAGCTATATTTGTTTTTTCCTGGCTTGTATATAACCTTGAATGAATAAGACTGTAGCCTCAGTATCCATCGTTCAATCCTCGCACATGGTTTTGACTTAGACCCGAACAATATCTCTAGCGGCTTGTAGTCAGTGACTAAATCAAAAGGCTTTCCAAATAAAAATATTAAAATGTTCGACCCCCCCAAACTAATGCTAGTGCCTTTTTTTCCGTTTGGCTATACCTGCGCTCGCAGTCTGTCAAAGCTCGATTACCATAGGCAATAATTCTAGGGCCATTTGTATCATTTTGTACAAGGACAGCACCAAGTCCGACAGGGCTAGCATCTGCTATCACCTGTCTTGCATCTCTGACGTCATAATACCCTAAAATCTGTATTTCCGTGAGCATCCGTTTGAGTTTTTGGAATGCTTTATCTTGTTCTCCAGACCATTGTTTTTCCTAGCTCTCCCTTTTGCTCATCTTCTGTCTTAACAGGTGCTTCAGAAGTTCTGTCATGGCGGCCAAGTTAGGTATCCATTTGTTTATGTAGTTTAAGAGTCCTAAAAACTTTGGAGTTCTTCTATGGTCTTTGGGACCCTAAATTTCATAATGCTCTCAACGTACTTGGGGTTTACTCCTTCATGTGTAAGCCTGTGTCCCAGATAATTCACATCCTGCGTTTTATATATGCATTTATTGCTATTCAGCACGGCGTTGTTTTTACTAAGTACCTGTAGAACTTTCTTTAGTCATGCGTAATGTTCTTCTTCACTGTTCCCGAATACCAGGATATCATCAATAAAATTGACGACCCCTTCACAGTTTATCAGCGTCCTTTCAATGATCTTCTGAAAAATCTCGGAAGCACAGGTAATTTCAAGCATTATTCTTTTATATCTATATAATATTTTGGGGTTTATAAAAGTCGTTATGTGTCTGGATTCAGAGTGAATTTCCACTTGATGGAAGGCATTTTTTATGTCTTAATTTGTTAAAATATTTAGTTTTCTTCATTTTAGGCAAAAATGGTCCATAGTAGGCAGGGGGTGGTTTTCTTGCAATATAACGGCGTTCGTACATCTCATATCTACGCACAAACGTAATTCACCATTTTCTTTCATGATTGGAACATTGGTGAAACCCATTTAGACGGGCCTTGCACTTCTTCAATTATATCACTGTTCAGTGATTCCTTAATTTTGATTGCAACCTTCTCTTTAAAGGGGATCGGCTTGCTTTACTCTCCACTTGATTTATCCCGATACCAAGTTTTAAGACACCCAGTCGGACTGCTGTGTTCTTACCAAACAGGTTTCTAGTACCCCCGAAATCACGTAAATGGTTGTATGTTCCTTTCGTCCATCGACTTCGAGTATAGTTTCAAATGAGCCCTCTATTGCCAAAGGAGAGTTACTATCCTATGCTAATAATGTCTTGTCTGGTCTTTACATTTGATTAAAAGCATATACTTTTTTGCTTTTTAACTCTTCCCACGTTTTGTAAGATATAAGGTTCTTGCACAATTTCGAATTACACTTTTCCACAATTTGATCTATGAAATGATCATCTTGCTTTTCAATGTACACTTTTCGGCTTGTTGACGCAATCTTATCAAAAACTTCTCAAATGTCTCTCCTTTTTTCTGTTTTAGCAATCGAAAAACATGCCGCTCATAAACTTTGCTCCGTTTAGGTTGAAAATACTCGTAGAGTTTTTTTTTGCTACTTAAAATACATCAACGGTTTCTTTTATCCCAGAGCCACCAAAATGCAATAGCGTAGCTCGTTTCTCGTGTGCTGATATAACTTCAGCTACGTCCAGATAGATTAGTAGAGACCTTTTCCATTTTCCACACCTTATAGCCATAGATGTGCTATCACATTAAAGCTGATAACGGTATCATTATTATTATTATTTTAGGGGCAAACTGAAACAGTTTCTTATATTTTTTTTCCAATTTAATGCTGGTATTTTAATACCCAAAGTCCAATTTAATGGTAGTAACTTAGTACCCAAAGTCCAATTTAATAGTAGTAACTTAGTACACAAAGTCCAATTTAATGGTAGTAACTTAGAACCTTCACCTTCGATTTGCCGACGATATAGTCCTTATGGCAGAATCGCTGGAGGACCTAAGCACTATGCTCAATGACCTCAATAGTGTTTCCCAACGGATAGGTCTTAAGATGAACATGGACAAAACAAAGATCATGTTTAATGTCCATGTCACACCTATGCCGGTAGTTGTTGGGAACACTAAGCTCGAAGTTGTTGACGAGTATGTTTACCTGGGACAAATAGTCCGACTAGGTAAGTCCAACTTCGACCGAGAGGTCAATCGACGGATTCAACTCGGTTGGGCAGCGTTCGGGAAATTACGGCACATCTTCTCGTCAGGTATACCTCAAAACTTGAAAACGAGACTGTACACCCAGTGCGTGTTGCCAGTGATGACATACGGAACTGAGACGTGGTCCTTCACTGCTGGCCGGATGAGGAAGCTCAAGGTCGCTCAGCGAGCTATGGAGAGGGCTATGCTCGGAGTTTCTCTGCGTGATAAACTCAGAAATGAGGATATCCGCAGTAGAACTAGAGTGACCGACATAGCCCAACGGATTAGTAAGCTGAAGTGGCAATGGGCCGGCCATATAGCTCGAAGAACCGACAACCGATGGGGAAGAAAGGTTCTCGAGTGGCAGCCTCGTACCGGCAGGCGAAGTGTAGGGCGTCCCCCCACTAGATGGAGTGACGACCTGGTAAGATATGCAGGAAGTCGATGGATGCAGGTGGCTCAGGACCGTGCTTTGTGGCATTCTTTGGGGGAGGCCTATGTTCAGCAGTGGACTTGTGAAGGGCTGTAATGATGATGAACTTAGAACCCAAAGTCCAATTTAATGGTGGTACATACCTTAGTACCCAAGTTCCAATTTAATGGTGGTATCTTAGTACCCAACTCAATTTAATGATGGTATCTTAGTACCCAACTCAATTTAATGATGGTATCTTAGTACCCAACTCAATTTAATGATGGTATCTTAGTACCCAACTCAATTTAATGATGGTATCTTAGTACCCAACTCAATTTAATGATGGTATCTTGGTACCCAACTCAATTTAATGATTGGTATCTTGGTACCCAAACTCAGTTTCATGATAATAATATGTTCCATAACACTCGCCCTTCTCTTTTGGTTTATTTGTTATATCGACTACTTCCATCGCTGTGCCATTTAGGCTTTGGGTAAATTCAATACCTATATTGCGCATTTACCATTATTGATAACTTAGACAGCAATACCCTCGAGAAACGCCGTGATATAAGAGATCAAATGTTGTTGTACAAATTGCTTCATAATATCATCGACTTTCCCCTACTTTTAGGCAAGGTGAATCTTGCGTGTCACAGGTTAGGTGCACGAAATAAACCACTTTTTGCATTACCTAAAGTTAAAACAAAAAAATGCCTCAAATAATTTTGTATCTCGTACATGCAAAAAGTTTAACTTAAAATATTGTAAATATTACATATTTTTCACCTTGAATATGATAGTTACAAAGAAAATATTGTAAAACTTAATATATAATTGGTAGTATCACTTTGAGTTGTATATATAATGTTACTTTTAACTACTTACTACTTAATGTTTTAATTTATGAATACCATTTAGCTTGTTTTATTCTTTTATATTTTTAATTTTATACAACATAATATTGTGGTTTGCTTTTATTATGTATTAGATATCTGTGGAAACTTCATTGGTTTTTAGGATTACTTTTATATGTTTTATTATGTAATTTATTGTTGCACTGTATGTTTCCCTTAAAAAGCAAATAAATAAATAAACAGTATTACTAGTTACCTACTTTGCAATGTACAGAAGTCGTGAAGTGTCCACGATTTTTTGTAAGACTTATATATGCCATGAAAGCAGTAAAATAGTATTTTCATTAAAGGCGATAAATATCACACCTACATGTTAAATGCCACTAAAATTTAGCTAACGACATTGTATTTCGGTTCGAATCGAGAGGAGTTTTTAGTAACATCTACTATTTTTCCATCAAAAATCTTTTTATATAAAAGTTGTGCTAATAGTCATATGTTAAAATAAAATCATTATTTTATCATTGCTACATAAAGAAAATAAATTTTAGCACACCATAAGCGTGGTCAAATGCGAACATATATTTTATATAAATTATTAAAATGATTAGAACAGGGTTAAAAACAATAAATCATAATTCATAATCCACAGTTTTTTTTCCGCGGGTACTCTAGGAATTAATTTACAATTGCAATGCTAATAGTTGCACATTGCTAACCTATTTTTGATATATCTTTATACTAAATAGGTACTTATCTTTTTCCTCGTCGCCACTTGTAATGTCTGCTATCTTTTCTAACCACTGTAGTGTAACACAGGCTCGGCACGCACTTTAACTAAACAACACGTCCACTCTCGCGCGAGGCTCTCGTGTAACTGACGCGGTGCGCTCGAGACAGTGACTTATATATAAATGTATGTTTGTGTATTTGTGCATGGTAAATTATTAGTAAATAAAACAAATAACAATATTTACTGTATACTACATATAAGCAAACACTACAGGTTTGCAACTTGTCTAGGAGAAAGGTAACTCCAAAATCAAACCTGGAACTTCTTTCTTCCTGGAACTTGTGGTTCATAAGGCACAAGTAAGCTTCAAGCTGAAATAAGTAGTGCATTCCTCCAAACACCCGAGTCATATATTTAATTATTCAAAGTATGCACCGTTGTTATCTATGCATTTTAGCCATCTCATAGGTAGTTCATTGATCCCTTTACTAAAAAAAACCATGGGGGCGAGAATCAATAAACTCTTTGAAGGCGGTTTGGACTTCCGCATCGGAGTTGAATTTTTTTCCTTGTAAGAAG